GCCAAAATTTGAATACGTTATACGGCCATATATAGCAAAGATGGTCAATCCAAAATTATAGTAGTTTATATGCAGATCATGTAACCGTATTTTACAATCACGTGATTTATGGGGACTGGCGATATATCGCCATGGCGGTATTTTATAAAATCCTTTATTATAGTAAAAATTAAATTTTTATTAAGTTAATTAAATTTCAAAATTAAGTAAAAATTGTTCAGCATAACAAATTGAATATAATTTTGAATTTTTATAAAATTTTAAAAAAATATTAAGTTAGTTATTATTTTTAATATAATAATTAAAGAGAATTACTACGTTTAACCAGGAAGAATTTTCCAGTTACACAGATTAGTGATCTACACTAATACCCAGATTACTGATCTACATATATATTTATTTATTTTTCTTTTTTTTGTATATATAGTTTTTTTTTTTATTGGCATATTTAATTTAGTGGTTTCTTTTTTTTTATAGCGCCTATTTCTTTTAAACCTACCTTCTTTCTATTTTGTAGTTCTTCGATATCGTTATTTTTCAGTGTCATCCTGTTTGGTAGTGTCATTCTTCGGTGCTCTTCGTGTACTTCATTTCACTTGGGTCGTCGTATTTTGGTACCATCATCGTTTTCTGGCATAATTGCTTGGTGTTATCGCATTCTTATGTTCGTAAGTTTCACATTGCGTTGCGTCGTTGGATCATCTATATAAGTATCGGTTTGGTTTTTTCTTTTGTTCTTGTGGCTTTTTCTTCTCTTTACTAACTATTCTTTTGTTTTCATGTTTGTAGGTTTCGTCGTTATGTTGCGTCGTTAGGTTATCCATATAAGATATCAGTTTGGTTTTCTTTTGTTCTTGTGGCTTTTTCTTTTCTAACTATTCTTTTTGTTTGACATTTTTTTTTTAGCTTTATAAGTCGCGTCCTGGGGTTGTGTTGTTTGGCAGTGTAGTTGCATAGAATTTTCTGGTGTTGTCGCATTCGTATGTTTTGTAGGTGTTGTCACTACATTTTCACTGGTCGTTCGTCATTTGTCGGTGTGGTTGACACTATTATTGCATCAGATCTGGCTGCTGCACCAATTTTGTCACAGCAGATTCTCGATTTTGAATGGCTAATGACCGTGATTTTGGCCCACATTATATATTGTCTATATAAATTTTGGCTGAAATTAACCTTATAACTTCTCATTCTGAAAATAGAAATGTTTAGAGAAAGAGGCCTGTACAATAGTAAAAATTTCATTAGCAAAATTTTAACTTCGGCCTTAATGTTTTATTATCACTCTTAGCAAAATCAAGAATTTGCTACGACAATTTTGGTGCGGCAGCTAGGTCCAATATGTTATCACCTGTTGATGCATTCTGTTGTCTTGTAGGTACTGTCATTACTTTGCTGTTATCTTTTTTGTACACGTTACTCTTCTCTTTACTAATCAGTATTTTTTTTTTTAAAGTAACTGGGTAACTGAGTTGTCATTTGCCGGCGTAGTTTCTGGTGTCGTTGTTAATATATTTCTGCTGTTTCCTGATTTTGTTGTTCTTGGAGGTGCTAACATTTGTTGATTTGGCCATTTTAGGAGCTGTTGTGATTAGTCACAATTGAAATTGGTGGAAAAATAAAAGATCCCGATTAGTAGTTGTTTTAAAGGTTAGGGTTGGCTTAGAGTAACTATATTGGATGTTGAAATAGTTTGTTGGAAGTTAGGGTTAAAGCAGTTATTGGAGATTAGGGTTGGGTTAGAAGAATATAGGTTAAATTTTAGAATTAAGTATTAGAATAGAATTAGTTTGCTGTATTTGTCATATTTGTTGCATACGATGTATTAAAAATATTTGTTATGTAATATCAGATATAAAATATAAATATAAAAAACATATATATTATTTTATATAAAATCGATCTGCAATATCATTGGATATCATTGGTCGATATGCAGATCATATAACTGGGAAATTTCCCTCCGGTTAAGATTAGCAATTCTCATAATTAAATTATTTAATTTAAAATTAATAAATTTTTAAATATAGTAATTTTATTACTATATATAAAAATTTACTAAATATTTTTTAAAAAAGATAAATGTTCTTGTTACATTCTGTTATATAACATTTTTGTCACGGGTCATATGCGAATATATAAATAGTGATGATTATTGATAATCATTGTTTTTTTCTTTGCTTTCACTTTTTCTTAGTTTTATTTGTATACATGTTTAGCCAATTTTTATTTTTTTTTCAGGCAATAAATAGTCTTGTCGCTAGAGTTGTCACCGGAGTCATCATTGAAGTTGTTGTCAGAGTTGACGTTTTGGAGTTACTGATTTCATAGCATTCGTGTTCGCTCTTTCAGTGTGATGGCTTTTTTTTTGTAGTTTGACCCACGTATATGTTTAACTACTCTAGTTTTTTTTTAGATAATAGTCTTGTCACTGGAGTCATCATTGGAGTCACCATTGGAGTCGCTGTTGGAGTCTCCATTTTTGGAGTTACTAGTTAGTTGTACGATTTCGTTGTATTTGTATTCGCTCTTTCTGTGCAATGGCTTTTTTGTAGTTTAACTTGTGTCTATTTGATATGTGTAACTACTCTTGTTTTTTTTTTATTTAATAGTCTCGTCGCTGAAGTTGTTGTTGGAGTCGCTATTTTTTGAGTTACTAGTTAGTCTGCCTTACCTTGGTATTCTATGATTTCGTCGCATTTATGTTTGCTCTTTCTGTGTGACTTTTTCGTAGTTTAACCTGTGTACATGTCTAACTACCCTTGTTTTTTTTTAGGTAATAGTCTCGTCGCCATTAAAATCAGTATTGGAGTTACTGTTTATGGAGTTCTGATTAGTTTTCTTACCCTTGGTACTGTATGAGTTCATCGTATTCGTGTTTGCTTTTTCTGTGCGGTGGCTTTTTCATAGTTTGCTTTGTGTATTAACTATCCTTGTTTTTTTTTCAGGTAATAGTCATGTCGCTAGAGTCACTGTTGGAGTTGCATTTTTGAAGTTACTAGTTAGTTGCCTTACTCTTGGTACTGTACTATTTTGTCACATTCGTGTTCGCTTTTTCTGTACGATAGCTTTTTTGTAGTTTGACCTGTGTACATATCTAACTACCCTTGTTCGTTCTTTCGATATAGTAGTTTTTTCGTTGTTTAACCTGTGTATATGTCTAACTGCCCTTGTTTTTTTTTAGATAATAGTCTTTTTTGGCCCTGGTACAATACATCGCATTCAAAGATTATTTTAGGTAGGTTTCATAGCATTAATTTTGGTATCATTTCTGGAGCTTCGTTTATTTTAGTTCGTCGCATTACTTTACTGTTATATGATGCTGTTTAGGGTTAAATAATAGTTAGAGTTAGGGTAATATAATAGAATTAGATAACCGTTTCTGGGTTAGATTTATGGTTAGTTAACGATTAGAATTAGGTAAGTTAAAGTTAATAAATAGAGATAGATTTAGTTAATAAATAGAATAAATAAATTAATTTAAATAGATTGTTAGTATTAAATATACTTACAGTTTTGATTGGCCGATTATATGTCATGTGATCCATAACAAAAACATCATATAACAGGGTGCAACAAATAAATTTTTTCTTTTAAAAATTATAAAATTTTTAAAATATATATAATTTGTTATATCAAATAACTTTATTTAAAAAAATTGCTAGTTTATTAATAAAAAAATTAAGTTTATATATTACTATATTTAGTAATTTTAGTTACTATTAAACTATATTAAAATTTAAAAAACTGGTCAAATGTAAAAATTTAAAATTTTACTTAATAGACAATTCATCTATCATCTGCAAATTTTATAAATAAATTTTACTATTAAGCCAAATGTGAAGAGATTTCTTCTAAAACTTTTTTCTTACTAAGTAAATTACTCTTGGGCTTCTAACAAAAGTTGTAAAGCTTATCAAGATGCATCTAATGGTTATAAGAATACTAAAATTAGCCTGGTGGTTCTTGAGAAATTATTAAAAAATATTTTATCGATATATAAAATTTCTTTAAAAAAAATCAATTTTTTTTTAAAGAAATTTTATATGTCAGCAAAATGTTTTTAAAGATTTCTCAAGAACTACCAGGCCAATTTTAGTATTCTTACTATTATTAGATGCATCTTGATAAGCTTTACAACTTTTGTTAGAAGCCTAAGAGTAATTTACTTAGTAAGAAAAAAAGTTTTCTTTACATTTCTTTAAAAAATCTCTACATTTACTATTTGAAGATTTTATATACATTTATATATAAATCTTGTATAACCTGCATCATATAGCTCTCCAGATGACTGGTAAATTATCTATTAAACATAATTATTTTAAAAACTGTAGTATAAAATTTTTAAACTTTTTTTGTTTAAAAGATATAGATTTAAAGAATTTATAATTTGATTTTTAGTTTAATAGTTTATATATTTAGCTCTGTATAAATTTTTAAAAAGTATCTACAATAATATAGTAGGTTACTATATTTGATCCTTTTAGTTGTTATTGATAATAATACTAAAAGTTAACTTGTTGTTTAATGTTTATCAGATAATAAAATAATCAAAGGTTATAAATAGTTTTTTGATTATATTTTTCAAGTAACAAATAGTGTTTTATCTATCTGTATATTTTCTGATACTGATTTAGCTTTAATAAATACCATAGCATTAAAAATACCTACTATTTATTATTTTCTTTGTATTTTTATATACAGGAGAATTTATACAGAAATTTACAAAATAAATTGAGCAAACATTATAATTAATTTTATAAAGAGTTTTTTCATATCTGAAATAGCTTATTCAAAAATAATTTTTATTGACAGTGGACATATTTATTAGAAAAGTATTCTCAAACTTGAGATTATCTTAATAATATTTTATATAATTGTTATTAGTGATGGCACATTGTCATTTAAAAATAAATGACATCTTGTCATATAACAAGTTATTTTTGTTATAAAAAAATTATTTATTTTTTTATAATTATCATATCATTTATAGTTAATAAATAATTTTTATTAACCAACTAGCAATGTTATATTTGCGGGCGATGAAGTTGCCCGCTTGCAATTTTTGAATCACATTATTTAAAGTGTGACATATATTCAATCAAATATTGTTGTGTACTAGAATTGATTAAAAGTATATATTGTGATTTGGCATTAGTTAATAATTTTTTTGGTCAACAAGTTGAGGTGGAGCACTATTTTATAGGATATAAGTATGATCGATGGGTGGTAATCATTCATATTTTATTTTTATAACTAGTAGTTAGAACATAATCATGCAGCTTTGCCACTCATAATATATTAAGATAATAGATTTGTTTGTTTTATTCTTACTTTTACTTCATAAAGAAAAATTTTCTTATTGCTATTGTCATAATTTCTGAAACACCTGATAAAAATTAGCTGAATTATTTTTCGGCTAATCCAGTTAAGTTATTATATCAGCATAATAGATTTAATAAAATTACAAAGTTGTATATATGCATGTACGTATACATATACATAACTTTTGCATTAAATAGTGCTGATTATTGCAACAGCATTTGGTGCTTAAGAATATTTAGTATTAATATTATTGTCATTTATTTGTCATTTTAATGTCATTTATAAAAATATTTTTTATGACTTGTCATTTTGCCATAGTTTTGTGTAAAATTTTTTAATAATAAATGATATTGTTATTTTAAAATGACATGTCATTTACAGTCATTTTCATAAAAATTTTTATGACTTTGTCATTTGCCATCACTGATTGTTATAGGTATAGGCAAAATGCTTTCAAGTTAAGATTTTTATAGCTAGAGTCCAAAGTATACAAAGAGTGAAAGTAATGAATAAAATAATCAAAGAGGGAATAAGTAGTATATCTTTATTGTATAATTTGCATGATATAATATAGTAATTGTTTAGTATAATTCCTATCTTCAAAGCTTTCTGGTTAATCAAGCATCTTCTATTATTGAGTCTATATTTTCTGAAGTACTCAAGTTATTTAAAAAATATTTACTGCCTCATATTTTGTCTATTCAATATTAGCAAATATTTGGATTCTTACTATATTAGACAAAATTAGTCTCTAAAAAGATGGTTAATGTTATACAAGAGATCCAGTAAATTTACTGTATATTTCCGAAAGTAAGCTACTCCAAAAATAAGCTACTTTCCTTTTTTGGAAGAAAAATGTAAAAACTTCTATTACCCGAAAATAAGCTACTTATACGATTATTAGTAGTTACTCTATAGTAAAATCGAAATTTTACTAAGTAAATTGATATAGCTTATTAAGTGAAAGTTATTCAGGAGATCAAAATACATATATTCTGAAAATTTTACGTAAATTGAACAACTTTTTATTAATTGACTTTTGATTTTTACGTTCAACGAATTTTTTAAAATTCATATTTGTTGAACGTAAAAATCAAAAGTCAATTAATAAAAAGTTGTTCTATTTATGTAGAATTTTCAGGATATATGTATTTTGATCTCCTGAATAACTTTTACTTAATAAGCCATATCGATATACTTAGTAAAATTTTTCGTAATCAAGCAAAATCTGCTTTTACCCAAAAATAAGCTACTCCCAATTTTTTGAGCTTAAAATTATCCAAAAAATAGTAGCTTATTTTTGGAAATCTACAGTAATAATAATAATGATTATTAATTTAAATAATAAAACAGTTTCTTTTTTAGAATCCTGATCAGTTCAATTGCGATATTAGTTTTCTTAAAAATAATCTTGATAACTACAAACAATATTTTATTCTCTTATTAAAGAAATACAACCATCTGATATTCTAGAAATATAGAAGCTTATTGGTTTTATAGTATCCTATAAGTATTACATTATTTTATTAATTGATGATAGGCACTTGTGTACTTGTTTATCTATTATTAATTGTGGGCTTATATGTGTATATTTTTTCATATAATGATGAATTTGATAGCTACTAAGTTTAAAATCGAACTTATAGCAAAATGATGGTATACTGAAAAGATTTATAATCAAGATAATTAACCAAATCTGTATAAGACTATAGAAATAGTAATACAACTTAAGCAAGTTGATACTAATAATATGATAGTATCTGATCTGTATATAATCAATAGACTTAGAATACAATATGCACTTATAACTAAAACTAAATAACATGTACAAAAAAAGGTTAAATATACTTATAGCTTTGAAAAGATAAAAGTAGTACTTAATTTAATACTCAAGTTGGGTTATGAAGATAAGTTCGTTGATATGATAAATAGTTTTATTGATCAGAAAAAAAGTAGTGCTAGTATAGTGTATAATGAAAACTATAAAAGTTTAGATATTTTGGATCCTTTGATTCAAAAGCGGCATGGATACTCATCAAGTAAATATATCAAATCATCAACAAAGACTAAATCACAATATATTAGCACTAGAAATAGTACAATTAATCTGGTTGATCTAAATTTATATACATGTAAAGGAGTTAATAAAAATACTATATTGAGAGCTCTATTTAATATCTTTTTCTAACAATTCTATTGAAGTTAGCAATAATATTTCTACCAGTTCAACTCAAGACATAAAGAAAAATATTACTAAACAAAAATATATATGTGATATATGTGGAAAGCCAGGTTATAATTCACAAAAATGCAATAAATAGTTCATTTAGTATATATAGCAATATATGTATGCATATATCAAGATGATTAGATAACTTTTATATATCAATAGACAATATTACTATTTTAAATCAGAGTATATAGTTATATAGTTTGATAATAATAATGTGATACTAGATAAAACATTAGCACTAATACAATATTACTGTTTAAATGGGTGTAGCAATTTAGTAAAGTGGTCAAGTTGTCACCCCCCAAGTAGCAAGTCAAGAATTCGAACCCCACCGGTGACGAAAATTCGAATTTCTATTTGTATTATGATAACTGTCTTCTTAAGATTGGAATATCTGATCCTGTAACTATAGTCGGACCAAATAGTAGTTAGGATAATCACTACCCAAAATTAGGTTTGTGTCTGACCTGGAATAGTTTATTTTAGAAGGTTTACTAGAAACTGAATCAAGATTTAGAAAA